GTTTAAAACCCTTCTCACTAGGTTAGCCAGCCTGCTTGCGAAGATGCTCTTCCCTCTCTTCGTTAGGTGGAATGGGGGTGGCGGGAAGCGGCGCAGGCCGAGGGATGTTCTGGCCGCCGCTTCCCACTGCCCCCATTGGCCTGGAGCGGCGAACCGCGACCAGTGGAAGCCGCGATTGGCTGAACCTGCGGACGCGGCAGGTAAACAAACCGGCCTGGCCTGCCAGGGTACTTACCCTGGCAGGCCACATGCCAAAGGTTGCCGATCCCTGGTGTAGACGCTTCACCTCTCTGTACTTTGGAGACTTGCCTTCCTTTGTAAATTAGTTTGAGATGAAAAGTATTACAAAAGTAGTATTACTCAGCACTTCTATTATAATGTACAGAACTGCAATTGAAAAGTGAAATTTCAAAGTACAATCCTGGTTTTTAATCATCACATTGTTCAGAAATTCTATTTGTAGCATGTCTGCAGAAAGTGAATGAAACCCTTGAGTCCAAACTACACCAGTATCACACAGAGTAACAGAGATGCAAACATGATAGTAACATGGGTGTTGTCTATATTTTCATTTTTAGTGGTGTTTTAATACTTTTATTAATATGATTGTAAATGCTAGATGCTGAACGAACATTTGTTCCAGGACAAAGACATATACTGCTAATCACGCTTAACTCAAAGCCTAGGCTAGGATTTACACTAGAATTTACAAATGTGTTAGCACAGATTAACATGTTAAAACACAACTAAAAATGATAAGTGTAGAGAAGCCCAGGTTTTCAAAATCATCATTCCTTATATATGACTCCTTACTGATTACAAACTCTGCATCCATACAACTAGGTACTGTATCCATAAAACAAGCTTTAATTTCAGCTTCTTCAAAATTCGAAGTCTGGGTCTCCTTGAGGCTGCTCCAATTGATGTGACTAGCAAAACTCACAATTTTCTACCGGACCAGCATCAGATCATCAATCTTTGCAATCCTACCTCCATCTAGTGGCTTTCTCTATGTACTACAATAAATACCAACATTTTTTTCCCTCAAATCTAGAAAAAATAAAACATCTGCTAAACAAGAAGAGGCAAAGCTCTGTGCTTTATTTTTATGAATGGAATACATTTCAAGATGTTTAATCTTATACAGTTTGCAAACTTAATTATTATTGAAATCAGACATTCTTCCTACACTATAAATCTAGAACAGCCAACCTACATAGCATTTTTTTGTTTTGTTACTCTGATGTATTTTCTGTAGGTCCTCTCTTTTAAATAGCTCTGCTTCTAAAAGGCATAACACTGGCACCATGTAGAGATGTGGCAAAGAAAAGGTTAATTAGTGCAATGTGCATACTCCATGTCCAATATACTGACTTGCACAAACCTTTCAGATACAATAACAGATAAAAACCCACACCCACTTTTAATTATAGTGGCCACCCACAGCCGGTTTATAAGGCTGCAAAGAATTATTACATAGTTTGCCATAAGCCACAGAAACTGGATGTTCCTAGCCTTGAGCTAGAACCAATCCTAGCAATAGGACAAACCGTGCAATCTGGTAAAAAAGGCAGTTTACCCAACTACCTTTACCTGGCCTATAAAATGTGTGGAAGACCTAAAAAGTGGGACAGGAAAGGAGGAGTATCGGGGGCAGCCGTGTTAGTCTGTATCCACAAAAACAACAAGGAGTCCGGTGGCACCTTAAAGACTAACAGATTTATTTGGGCATAAGCTTTCGTGGGTAAAATACCTCACTTCTTCAGATGCATGGAGTGAAAGTTACAGATGCAGGCATTATATAATGACATATGAAGAGAAGGGAGGACCTCACAGGTGGAGAACCAGTGTTGACAGGGCCAATTTGATCAGGGTGGATGTAGTCCACTCCCAATAATAGATGAGGAGGTGTCAATTCCAGGAGAGGCAAAGCTGCTTTTGTAATGAGCCAGCCACTCCCAGTCCCTATTCAAGCCCAAATTAATGGTGTTAAATTTGCAAATGAATTTTAGTTCTGCTGTTTCTCTTTGAAGTCTGTTTCTGAAGTTTTTTTGTTCAAGACTAGTTACTTTTAAATCTGTTATAGAATGTCCAGGGAGGTTGAAGTGTTCACCTACTGGCTTTTGTATGTTACCATTCCTGATGTCCCATTTGTGTCCATTTATTCTTTTACGTAGGGACTATCCGGTTTGGCCAATGTACATGGCAGAGGGGCACTGCTGGCACATGATGGCATATATAACATTAGTAGACGTGCAGGTGAATGAGCTCTTGATGGTGTGGCTGATGTGGTTGGGTCCTCTGATGGTGTCGCTAGAGTAGATATGGGGACAGAGTAGGCAAATGAGGTTTGCTACAGAGATTGGTTCCTGGGTTGGTGTTTCTGTGGTGTGGTGTGTAGTTGCTGGTGAGTATTTGCTTCAGGTTGGTGGGTTGTCTGTAAGCGAGGACTGGCCTGCCTCCCAAAGTCTGTGAGAGTGAGGGATCGTTTTCCAGGATGGGTTGTAGATCGTTGATAATGCGCTGGAGAGGTTTTAGTTGGGGGCTGTACGTGATGGCCAGTGGTGTTCTGTTATTTTCCTTGTTGGGCCTGTCCTGTAATAGGTGATTTCTGGGTACCCGTCTCGCTCTGTCAATCTGTTTCCTCACTTCCCCAGGTGGGTATTGTAGCTTTAAGAATACTTGATAAAGATCTTGTAGGTGTTTGTCTCTGTCTGAGGGATTGGAACAAATTCGGTTGTATCTTAGGGCTTGGCTATAGACAATGGAACATGTGATGTGTCCTGGATGGAAGCTGGAGGCATGCAGGTAAGTATAGTGGTCAGTAGGTTTCCGGTATAGGGTGGTGTTTATGTGACCATCACTTATTTGCACTGTAGTGTCCAGGAAGTGGATCTCTTGTGTGGACTGGTCCAGGCTGAGGTTGATGGTGGGGTGGAAATTGTTGAAATCCAGGTGGAATTGTTCAAGGGCCTCCTTTCCGTGGGTCCATATGATGAAGATGTCATCAATGTAGCGCAAGTAGAGGAGGGGTGCTAGAGGACGAGAGCTGAGGAAGCGTTGTTCTAATTCAGCCATAAAAATGTTGGTATACTGTGGGGCCATGCTGGTACCCATAGCAGTGCCACTGACTTGAAGGTATAAGTTGTCCCCAAATCTGAAATGGTTGTGGGTGAGGACAAAGTCACAAAGCTCAGCCACCAGGCGTGCTGTGGCCTCATCAGGGATACTGTTCCTGACAGCTTGTAGTCCATCCTCATGTGGAATATTGGTGTAAAGTGCTTCTACATCCATGGTGGCCAGGATGGTGTTTTCAGGAAGATCACCAATGCATTGTAGTTTCCTCAGGAAGTCGGTGGTGTCTTGAAGATAGCTGGGAGTGCTGGTAGCGTAGGGTCTGAGGAGAGAGTCCAAATAGCCAGATAATCCTGCTGTAAGAGTGCCAATGCCTGAGATGATGGGGCGTCCAGGGTTTCCAGGTTTATGGATCTTGGGTAGCAGATAGAATACCCCTGGTCGGGGCTTTGGGGGGGTGTCCATGTAGATTTGTTCCCGTGCTGTAGCCGGGAGGAGGTGTGCGTTTAATTAATTTATTTTACTCAAATTATTATTTCTTTAGATTGTAATAGTGCCTCAAATGTGCTAGGGACTTTCCAAAGGCAGGGGAAGACCCAATCCCTGCCCCGAAGAATGTACAGTCTAAAATAGGGGTTCTCAAACTGGAGGTCGTGACCCCTCAGGGTAGGGTTATCATATTTGGAGCCTCCTAAAGGAGGACACTCCACGGGGCCCCGGCCCAGCCCCGCCCACGCCCAAACTCCGCCCCTTCCCCAAAGTCCCCGCCCCAACTCCGCCCCTCCCCTGCTTCCCGCGAACATTTGATAAGCAGGAAGCAGCTAAGCTGGGGGGGTGGGGGGAGGAGGCGGCCCCGGCCCGGCGCACCCCCCTGCCCCCGGCGGCCCAGCGCGGCCCCGGCCCAGCACCGCCGGCCCCCGGCCCAGCG